GATGCCAGGGGGAATCCCCGAGCTAATAATCATGCAGAAATGTAAATTCAGCGGGGAAACTGGGTCCGCTTTCGATTCTCGGAATCGGTCGATGCGAACTCGAGTACATCTTGAAACAATTGTGTATACTTGGATAAAGATTCCATCGAACAATAATTGAAAACAACGCTTGATTACAAGCAGCCATCATGGGAAGACATCACAAGGTATCGCATTTTAGTAGTCTATCAGTAGCATATACGTTTGAGATCTGTGCACATCGAGGAATCAGAATAATTGAATTCAACGTAATACGAAATATTAATTCAGGATATTGTTCCAAGCCGATACATTTGTCGCCGTTTGATAGATCCTAATTGGTCTATGTTTGGGACTAAGCCCTTCAGTTCAGCGCAATTAGGAATATAGAATAGGCTTCATCGACTCATAGTGCATAATTCGGGATACCTAGGCTCCCTGCTTATTACTAAAATCGTTTCACAGCAGCTCAATATTACTCAAGCCGGCAGTGGTAATATAATGCCCAGAAAATCGCGCGCTTTGTTCAGCTGCGTTTCGCTATATCAAGCTGGTATGAAAACCATAACGAGAGATTTATAGAACTGAAAAGAAGTTTTAAACTGACATTTATTACAAAGACCTTGTCACCCTTATTCACAATTAGGAACTTTACATGAATGACAATCATTTCGCTGCGCCCTTTATTTATTTATTTTATAAACGCGGTTACTTGCGTGTGTTAGTATTCTCAAAATGTATATTGCAAAACGTTTAAGACGTTTTGCCTATATCTAAGTTAGATAAGGTTGCAAACTGGTTTCAAACCTATTGGAAGTAGTGATTGAAATACGTTTATATTTTACATGTTCAGACAGAAAGAGGTGATCAATATTGCTCTGATCCCGGCCACCAAATTTGCATACTGTAATTGCATATGAAAGCAAACCTTTAAATTGTATTATTAACAAAAACGTTTCAAAGCCATAACGCAGTTTTCCACGATGGTTCATTTCAGCCTGCAGATCTGCCTTCAAGTTCAAGTTATCCTACAGGCTTCAGTCGAAGTCCTTTTACGATAAGGGAAGTAAGGTGTTACATTTGGTGGCCCGCAAATAAGATTCCTTCAGTTATTCCGCTTGCTGTCATCGTGTGCTTCTTTATCTGCGTAGTAAGTCACTACGTTTTGTATTTATATGTTAACTGTTAAATATAGAACATGAGGACAAAGTACGAAAATTTGTAATGAGCGTAAGAGATCAGATGCATACTTCGAATTCATGTTTACGAATTAATACCTCTTACATGACTTCTAAATCACATGATCTTTGTATAGGAAATCACATGATTCTGAGTGCAATTTGGACATTGGAATGAATGAGCACTTGTAAATTTTTTAAAGACTGAAGATTGTACGAGCCCGTAGGGCTGTGATTACTTGTTAATAACACACTTGAAAACATAATATGCACAAGAAAACATAATATGCACGAGCCCGTAGGGCTCTGATTACTGTTTAATAATACGCTTGAAAACATAATATTTACGGTTTTTGTCTAAACAGTTTTCTCAGGTAGGCTGCAGTGCGCTTGGTATTCCAAAAATCTTCAAAAATTTCCGAAAATATTCGCAAAACTGTTCCAACAATGTTTGAAAGTCTTCGGCCAGCTTCGGACGATCTTCTTAAATCTTCGGAAGGGTTTGGATGATTGTCAGAGGTGTCCAGAAATGTTCAGGTGATATTCGTTTATATTCGGCAGTAATCGGAAAACGGCTAATTACCTTCGGTTATCTCCGGAAGACCTCGGGTGAACTTCGACCACCTTTGAAATACGTTAGATGACCGTCGGTAGTCTTCTAGCCGTGTCTTCGTACTAGCTTCGGATGTCTTCATTTTAATTTGCACTGGTGTTACATGAAAACTGCACTCCTTTTTAACCAATTAGAATCCAGTAACTTTTTCAAGCATATTATATAGATAGATAGATAGATAGATAGATAGATAGATAGATAGATAGATAGATAGATAGATAGATAGATAGATAGATAGATAGATAGATAGATAGATAGATAGATAGATAGGCAGGCAGGCAGGCAGGCAGGCAGGTAGATGGATGGATAGTGTTCTCTTATCTTTTTATGATCCATTCCACACCTTCGTTAATTAGTTTGGCCTTCAAAGGCATTACGAGGTTCTGCAATTCGACAGGCAAGTGGTGGAGTTTCGCCTGCTTCATCGAGGGAAATAAAAATAAAATGCACGATTATAAAGTGCGAACGTCATGTATAGTCTCGGTATTTTTATCAATACGTGACTCAATACATGTATCAATATTATTTATTACCCTTCTATAAAAACTATTTATCACACAGATTTGCTTCTGGCGATTACCTGAAGATCATGATGAGTACCCTGATGGCTTTACATGTCCAAACTCAACATACAAGATTTTAGACGACAGAAATGTGACCATCAGTTGCAAGCCTTGCCTAGAATGTCCTTTGGGGCAACAGCTTCTACTGCCATGTGGCAGCACAACACAATCAGAAACCTCTATAGCGTGTAGGAAATGTCCACCAGACACTTATAAAGAAAGCCAGGGTAAAGGCAAGTGTAAACCATGCCAAACCTGTGGACTCAGAGAGACCATCAGCCAGTGCACACCAGAGAAGAATACACAATGTGGCGAATGTCCTCGGGGATACTATCAAGAAGACTATACGTTGGATTCGTGTAAGAGGTGTTCTACGTGTTGTGGGGTCAGACGCTTTGCTGAGTTAGAATGCATTTACCTGAAACAATGCGTAAGAAAAAACTGCACCCTGCAACTGAAAATCAAGGAGAGCAGTGTCCTAAAGTCGGAGGATTTTGCCAAACTGTTTGCAACGGAATCAACTGGACCTGAAAGAGCAATGACACAACGAAGTGCTTCTCAAAGTGATAATCCAACACATGCAAGAAATTGGGTATTGGAGAACATAGTACCCCAGTTAAAGAAATCTAAATCTAAAAGAGAGGTTAACGTGAAAATGCAAAGATATGGTGGCAAAAATGCTTCTCAGGTAGTCGAGGAAGGAACTACTTACGCTGTTAAAGGGAATAATTCAAATCCCGCTACCATAGCCTCTGTTGAAAACAGTGTGGCCGGCAGTTTGGTAACTCTTCAAAGCAAACTGCAGGAGAGTTTTGGAACTACTTTTAATGATTCTGTCAGGGAGCCAACATTGCAATCGACATCAAGCAATTCTGGTAAAGAAAATAAGCTACTGACCATTCTAATTGTACTCGTAGCCGGATTCGTGGGCATTGCAATTATCCTGGTTTTAATTGGAGTGATTATATTATTGAGGATGCAGTCTGGGCATTTTCCAGGAAGTGGTTGTACTATTACATGTTGTGCAAAATATATATCAATAGATGGCGACGAATACCGACCATTCCTTCGTGACAGATCTCTGACAGGTGAGGCAGCTAAGTACAAACCGTTACAAACAATTTAGACTCTTCTATTCTACTGCATGCTGCTGGCCACAAGTTCATTGCAAGTGGTACAACTTCTAATAACTGAAGAAAGGCAAGCTGAGTGAAACACGTTTTACATATGAGACGCAATTTTTCCTAATATTTTCATTTATAGTTGTCTCGTAATCTACAGTGCATTTAGGTCCACGCATGCATTTCTTATTTGATGCCAGCACCAAGGAGAAATTGCCTTGCTTCTCAAGAAGTAATGTTATATAATGGGCTCTAAGGGGAATGAAATTTGTTCGTTGTGATTAATGGCAACCCTCTGTTAAGAGGAGTGATGTCAAGGTTAAATTATATGAATTTATTTTCAGTTGTAATACTTAAGTTACTAAAATTTAAATTTATTAAATGTTTTGGTAATGCAAGGTGGCAAAATAGCTAATGAAAAAAACAATTATCAGTATTGATCACAATATAGGCAGCAATAGCAATGACTCCAAACTAAGCAGAACAATTCTTGTTAAGCTGTAGATCAAGGGTGCGAAAATCTCTTCGCCATAATCGACACCCGTACACTTGCCACACTTACTGTATTATGCGATTTTCTTTATTTTATATTGTCTTAGTTGCTCAGCTTTCATTTTCAGATTCTGATTGTCAAGAAATCACTCACATCAGTGACAGTGGGGTTGACAACTCCTCTGAGAAAAGTACAGATACTGGTGACCTTGAAAGTAAGTGCTGCAAGTCGTGTATTTGTCGCTATTTAACCACCCATGGATTTCTAGTCAGTTCAGGGCAGTCATGAACTGAAATGTTGTCATTCAATTAATGTAAAGCGAGATTGTCACTCATTCATTATTTAAATGGAATCCCAAACATCACATAAACTGAGCGAGGTAATAGACAATATCACAGCGTACGGAGCAACTTAACAGGGAAAATTAAATAACCTCTCAACTTGCAACCAGTGGCAACTATGAAGGCTTACCTGGAATATCAGAGCTGGATCTAATTTAACTCCTAAAACAATGCTGGGATTCTCTGATTTTAAAGGCTGGTGACTCCTAGCTGGCTCTAGTTTCATTACAGTTTCCATCACATAATGGTTTTATTTTGTTAAAAATTACCATATGCCATTACCTTGAGACTATTGATTGTGTATCATGAGTAATGCAAGCACAAATTTCGATCTCAAATTGATAAAGATTGGCAGACTTCACGAAATTCTGGTCGTGTCGCCAATGTTCCTGCAGTTGCAAGGTTTAGTTCGTGTTATATCAGAAACAGAATAATCGTTTTTTTTTTATATTCCAACATTGCAGGTCTTCCTTTGTCTGAGTTACCTCCAACCCTTGAAAACATACTTATAAAGACACTAGATTTGCGCCACAAAGGTGAATATGGGTGGAAAAAATTGGGAAAGGCTTTTGGAATTAACAACGTTGAACTAGAGTACCTGGAAACTGCGTACAAAAGGAGTGTAGAAAGTCCTACGAAAGAACTGTTGGAAATACTAAATACGAGTCATCGTGGAACTGTTGGTGACCTACTAAACAAATTAAAAGGTTCACATGTAAACCAACCAGCTGTTGCTCTGCTAATATGTGAGAAATGGCAAGAAATTAAATATGTTCAGGCCAGGAAATAACTTTAGTAGAGCAGATATTTGCGTTGCACCACTAGGCTTAAATCGTAGAATGGTATGAATGATAAGTGTGTTAAATAAATCTTACAATAATATAAAAAGCATAGATGTTGGAAGATGCTGGTTCAGACGTAAATGTTATTATCAGACATAAATGTTATTATAAAACATGTAAAATTCACTTCTAGTTTCCAATATGTAATATTGTTTTACATATCATTTACAAAGGAAACCTTATTTAATTATTTTATCACGGCAAGGTATTTTTTCTTCCAGGGGATGCCTCAAATCAAAGAGATAATTTACCTTGACACCATATACATCAAATTCAAACTATACCATCAGAAACTCGTTGTGTGTGTATATATTTCTCTGAGGTGCACAATTTTGACAAGGGTGCACGAGACAATTATTAAAGGACAACTGGTGTATCAAAGTTTGTGTTACCAATGGTGACTACTATTTTACGAGTATTAGTGTAATGTTTCTAAGAGAGAAATGTAGACGTACATGCAAAATTCTTTAAAATGCTGTAAGAAGTACTCAGTAACAGACCTGTATGTACAAATGGACTAGTTTAAGAAACGTTATTGGGTAATAGAATTGTAGAATTATTGGACTGCTTAAATTGTAAAAACCCAAGATATTAATTTTTAACCACATTTTACACTTTTATAACAAATTCACGTAAACAGGCCATTAATGTACGTGCCTAAGAAACTGACCATCTTAGTACGAGAAAAGAAATTATACATACTCAAAAAAGGACAAAAAAAA